TCTGACAATATCTTGGCTGGGGACGCAAGAAATACGCTTTACATATTGTACCCATTTAGGGAGTGCAATACGAGTATTCGGCATGATGTGAATACGCTTTAACCAATAGGCTACCCTACCCCGGCGGCTGTGAGCATTAAGCAGTTAGTCATCATACAGTGACTATCAGTCGGACAGGAAGACTATATTCGTGTGAAGAGTCACGTGACGCCCACCTCTTCACATAATCTAAGCACAGCAACCGCTGACAATAAAGCCATATATAATGCAATCATTCAGTGTCACTCTCATTATTATGTTGTTCCGATACCTGGCCACTAAACGTATAAATCGTTCTCTTAATCCACTACCCAGCCAAGTAGATGCAATACACAGGAAGCCAGCTGTTGTGAGAGTTTAATAGGGACAGGGGTAATGTAATGCTGCGTTGACAGTAACAGCACGCCTGCCTCACTGCAAGCAACGTCAAACAATTCCTCTTTAAACGTTGCACGAATATGGTGTTTTCTTACAACGAAAGGCAGAGTACTCTATAAAGAAAGCAAAGCTTTGTTTTCCCGCTTCCACTTCGTTGTCATGGTGACGACATATAAAATAAATATGGCAAGATTTTATCTATCGAATTATCGATGTTTGTGGATTTTTTTGCATTATATTAAATTCAGACCCTTACCGGAAACATTTCCACATTTTACATTAACAGGAATCCTGTGTTTCCGTCAACACTTTTCAGGATTATGGACTCTAAATCTACAATGTTTACATGCATAGTGGTTTTCTGTAAAGGTATATATTCCCTTTTGTCTCAAAGGTGTTTTTTGCTTTTTCATCTTAAAAACGTAGACTTTTTCAGTGAATGTGTACGTATATTCCTTTCTCAAGTGGGTAGTGGATAGAGCGTCAGCCCGGGGAGTTAAAAGTCCTGGGTTCGATCCCCGGCTGTGTCACATCAAATATGGTACTTGCTCTTACCGGTATCCAGGTACTTAGGGGATACCTCAAGGACTGGTCTTCTTAGAGTCGGTATATGTATCTGAGTGGGGTATCCATGTGGTATGGGATAGGGTGGTCAGACTCGCTGACTTGGTTGACACATGTCATCGTATCCCAATTGCGTAGATCGATGCTCATGCTGTTGATCACTGCATTGCCTGGTCCAGACTCATTATTTTACAGACCGCCGCCATAAAGCTGAGTGCGACGTAAAACTAAACTCATTCCCTGTGGTATGGTATCTCAGCGCTATAAAATTAGTCTGCACTAGCTCACACGCAGAGACACACACGGATACACAGACACACATACACATACTTTACAAGGTGCATGTAGCCTTTGTCTCTGTGTAAAGCAGCAAATAAATGTCATTTCCTACACATGCAGATTACAGATATTGCAAAATAATGCAACTGAGGGTTTTCAAAGATTCTTCAAATTCAAATATATTAGGGTATAAACAACAGTATTTAGACAGACATGGGGTAATTGTAATTTGTAATTGTAATTGAATGTAATTAATTACAAAAATATATGTAATTGCATGTAATTTGTAATTGAATGTTTAAAATGTAATTTGTAATTGTAATTTAATTAATTAATATCTCAATGTAATTGAATTTTTCAGTTACTTTTTCAATTACATCAAATTACATCTCACTTTTTTATTTTGGTGGTCATCAGGCAATCCTTGCAATTATATTATGTACAATAAGGAGGACAAAGCATTGTTTTTCAATAAGATGCTTGTTGTCGGTATATACTCTAGCAGGTGTTAAGTTTTGAAAGAGATTTGAATGTCTAAGCCTTTGTAACTATCACCATCTGCACATTTGTGAAACAAAGGGAATCAGTAACGCATGACTGAATGTGGGTTAGTATTTGAGGTAATGGGGGATTAACAGTACTATTAGTTAAGTTCCTATCAAAATGGCCTCTTTGTTTATTTCTCATAGGATATGATATTCAAAATCTTACTGAACTGTAGTCCTATTTTTATAATCATGAAAGGTAATAAGCCATAAATCCAAGTTGACAAATCCTTTAGTATGTTAATGTGGATTATGTCAGATAGAGAGACCGACTGATTATATATTGTAATGTAGGCCTGTAATGATGTCATGATACAGTACACCTTAGGTAAAAGTAGTGGACAAAGTGTTTTTTGCAACAAGAGATGATAGAGGTGTGTATTTGATAATAAGCCCAAAGAAATATGCAAAATACAAATTTGATCAAATAGTGTACATTGTAGATATAATCTAACTTTGCATTTTACTTTTTGATGACAAAAATATGAATCGGATTTAGTGACCACTCTTTACCAACATCGATATCTTGTTGATTAAAGGAATACAGAAATATAATTGTTTTGTTTTTTTAACAAAGTAATTTGTAATGTAATTAATTACATTGGTAATGTAATTGTAATTTAATTAATTACATATTAATTTAAGGTGTAATTGTATTTGTAATTGTAATTGAGGAAAATCAAAGTAATTGTAATTTAATTAATTACATTTCAAAGTAATTGAACCCATGTCTGTATTTAGATATAAAATTTGTTTTCCATATTTGGTTAAAATACGGACTAAATATTGATCAATCAAAATATCAAGTAATTGATCTATCGATCGATACATGAAATCGGTCGGTCGGTCGGTCGTTTTGTTCATTCGTTCGTTCGTTTATTTGTATTTACTTACATCAAATTGTATTTACTTGAACAACAAGGGGAGTTCTATGAATCTACAACTTCTTTAATGTAATATGAGCGACGTTTTGGTGTAGCAAATTACTTGATAACGGTGTTAGTAGCTACACCGAAACGTCGCTCATATTACATTACAAACTCTCCTCTTTGTTCATCACACCAACTTCTAAATGCCACTCAAACATGTATTTACTTGTATCCATGTGTTCTAAAATTTCAGAATCACGGCGCGACTCTGACTGGTGTTGACACACATGCTGAACATATTTTCATCAGCAACTGGCTACTTACGAATGACCTCTCCCGGTAATATTTTGTTTTTGTTCAGTGTTATGACTGTCTATGCTTCAAGGGTGTGAATAGGGGTACGGACTGGCGCCATTGTCTAAATCTACCAATTAGTTGTTCAGAGTTGCGTCCCTTGGTCGCGCAAGCATCCTATATGAGTTTGGATCCCGCTTGGCCCTGATTATGTTTCTATGTCTGTCAGCACTATACCAGTGGGTGCCACCCGTGAAGATCCTGGTTAGAATTAATCTTCAGTAACTCGTGGTTGTGGTAAGAGGCGACTAACTCGAACGGGTGTTAGGCTCGCTGACTTGGTTGACACATGTCATCGTTTCCCAATTGCGTAGATCGATGTTCGTGCTGTTGATACCTGGATTGTCTGGTCTAGACTCGATTATTTACAGACAGCCGCCATATAGCTGGAATATTGCTGAGTGCGGCGTAAAACTAAACTCACTCACTCACTCATGGGTGTCACTAAAAAGGTAAACTTTAAGACCCGCGTTACTTCTGGATTTCCTCCTACATTCCCTCCAAGCTGACAGGCTGTGGAATGCTGGAATATAGTGAAGGCTTCGCTTAACGTGCATCACTCGATCAAATCACTAAGAAACGTTCGCAATATGTCACAGAGTTGATGTTTTCAGACAAAGACAAAATGAAACGTCTGCATAATTTTTAAATGTCAGTAAAGTAACTACGTTTTGTATGTAAAACAGTGATAGACTCCATCACGTTTGAGATCCCCCTAAACTGAATTTAGATTTTGAAGCATCGGTTTTTCAATATTGCAAGAGAATCAATACTGAAATGGCGTGCTTAAAGTACGGATGTACTCTTAAGTTGTCAGACGGTAACACTGGGCATATATCAGACTGACTGACTGAGTTTGGGTTTACGCCGCTTTTAGCAATATTCCAGCAATATCACGGCGGGGGACACCAGAAATGGGTTTCACACATTGTACCCATGTGGGGATTCGAACCCGGGTGTTCGGCGTGACGAGCCAACGCTTTAACCTCTAGACTACCCCACCGCCCCGGCATATATCAGGACACGATGGCAGTAGTTATCCACTATGTTACGCTTGAAAATAGGGGCGGTGGGGTAGCCTAGTTGTTAAAGCGTTCGCTCTTCACGCCAAAGACCCGGGTTCGATTCCCCACATGGGTACAATGTGTGAAACCCATTTCTGGTGTCCCCCGCCGTGATATTGCCGGAATATTGCTAAAACCGACGTAAAACTAAACTCACCCACTCTTGAAAATAGACGTCAACGATTATCCACCGAAACAAACCAAAAAACATTCTATGTTTTTGTCAAAAAACATAAGCAGGGTTTGTTTGTCACTCACACATTTTAAGAAAAAACACAGGAAAGTTACAATTCAACATATCATGAATACACAATGCCAAAAAGACTAGAATCTGTGAGTGAGTGAGTTCAGTTTTACGCCGCACTCAGATACATGGCGGCGGTCTGCAAATAATCGAGTCTGAAGCAGACAACCCAGTGATCAACAGCATGAGCATCGATCTGCGCAATTGGGAACGAGCCTGACCACCCGATCCCGTTAGTCGCCTCTTACGACAAACATGGGTTACTGAAGGTTCATTCTAACCCGGACCTTCACGGGTCCTAGAATCTGTACTCTACTGAGAACGTGTAATCCCAGATATGACATACGTTACATTTACACATCAGTTGTTTGTTTGTTTGTTTTTTTGTTTTTTTTGTTTGTTTGTTTGAGCTTTTTGACGACGGTCTAAATATCCGAGTCTGGACAAGACATCAGACTTATAGAGATATAACAGGCATGAATAAGTCCCTCGAGCGGACACTGAGAAGGATATAATATTACACATTTTTTTACTTGATCAAATTATCATCATAATGAATAATTTATTTGTTCTTAATTCAAACTTTTAAGATTTACTTTCTAGTGGGTGTAACAGGGAGGTACATTCATTCATATTCTCTTATTGTCTTTATAATGAATCAGTTATGCGTTTCTGTGTCATCAGCGGGGCATGGTACACCTCTGGCATCGTGAACAACATACACACCGGCGATCTGGTGTGGGAGAGCGACGGCTCCAACATCCTCCCTGACAGACAGTACTGGCTCAGTGAGGAACACAAGAACATGACTGGCAGGAACATCGTGTACAAGTATGGAGGTCGGTGCCACAACATATTGTATTCAACGCTACTAGACACATCTGTTGATCACTGGATTGTCTGGTCCAGACTCGATTATTTACAGACTGCCGCCATATGGCTTGAATATTGTTGAGTGCGGCGTAAAACTAAACTAACTCACCAGACACATCTGTTAACCCAGCAATGAATGGGTACCCTGTAGGATTAGATACATGTATTAACCTTTACCGTAACCTCGCAGGCGCGTAGCAAGCCATTTTTTTTTCGTGTAAGCCCGATAGGTAGCAAAGCTTTATATTTACATAGTATTGAGGGTTTTCCCAACTATAATAGCAAAAATCATGCGTAAGCCCGGGCTTTCTTTCATAATGGTAGCTACGCCCCTGCCTCGAGCGCCTCGCAGGGAGCTGAGAAAAAATATCGAGTTCCCACTGATCCATTGACGTACGTAATAATGTTGATGCTTTAAGCATCCACATTGGTATGGAAGCCACTGCAATAGATGTACATACTTATTTAACTCTTGCATCAAGTGTATATTTTGAATATTGCAGCTTTAAATACATACAGGTATCTATGTAACTGTTCCAGTGACCCAGTACGGTTGGAGCAGGATGCAGGGGGACAACATCCCCTCCTCCTATGTGTGTGAGATACATCTAGACGAAGCCTACCGTATTTTACAGGAAGAGAGAGACTTTGGTAAGATGAAGTTGGTATTATATATAAGATGAGTGAGATGGCGGGGCACACCAGAAATGGGCTTCACACATTGTACACATGTGGGGAATCGAACCCGGGTCTTCGGCGTAACGAGCGAACGCTTTATCCACAAAGCTACCCCACCGACCCTCTACCTATATGAAATCATAACCTACGTAGACTAAAGTTAGTAGTTTTGTTTTACTGTGGCACTAATGCGCTTCCATAAGCATATAATTAGGTTTTGTATCATTTTATCCAAAAAATTATATTTACTGTAGCGATGGATACTCTTTCGTGAACACATTTTACTTACAGTTTTTCTCATTTATTTCATACCATCAGATTATGGTACTAACATCACGGACCCTAACGATGTTCCCCGAGGACCCCGATTTCTAAGTGAACCTTACGATATGGTGGAGATCGGAGATGCGGAAACAGCCTCCATCGAGTGTGTAGCAACGGCCATGCCGCCACCGATATACAGAATGTATCATACCTTGCAAAACGTCACCGTGCAAATAACCCCTGATCTCGATGACCGGTTTTCGCTGACCAATGGTAAGCTGACAATCGCTGATCCTCGCGAGGACCCGGATGGAGGACGATACCAATGCGAGGCGGAAAACGAATTCGGAGTAGTCATCAGTAACCAGATGCAGTTGTCATTCGGTAGTAAGTATTCCCTGGGCACGCGGTTGTCTGCAAGTGAGTGAATTGAGCTTTACGCCGCATTTACCAATATTCCAGCATCATCACGGCGGGGAACACCAGAAATGGGCTTCACACACAGTACCCATGTGGGGAATCGAGCCCGGGTCTTCGGCGTGACGAGCGAACGCTTTAACCACTAAGCTACCCCACCGCCCACTGTTGTCTGTGAAGCTATCAAGTTCCCTATAATAATGTGTTTAAACTCTGAATAATAGACACGAAATGAAATAAGGATACTATAAGGCATTTGGTGATATGTCTGGCAATACTTTGTCCAGCAGACACAAACGGTTTCTCAAATTCCCTTAAATCATTTTTCGAAATTAATTCCTTATTTGAACTAGCACCATATTTTGTCATTGTTGTTCGAGTGAACTCTTGTCTGACCTTTACATGTTCTTGTGGCTTCCTTCGTTTGGCATGATATTCAAGAATACAAAATAAATATTTGATGGTGATTCACAAACATGTCTTCAGAATCAATTTTGATGTAAGTCTTATAATCATGGAAATAGATTTGCATCTCACGTGTAAAGAACTAACAATTCTAAGACTTTCTGAAATTCGAACTATCAATGAAAAAATATTTAATTTGAAAAAATGCAGTTCTTATTTTGACTTGCTCGTACCATTCCATGTTTATCAATCCCCTTTATATGTGATTGCGCCGGGAAGAAAATATCATCGCATGCAGCTGGCCTTAAAATTAGACAGTGATTCCTGAACAGATGCTCATGAATCGAAGAAGAAGAAGAGATTCTCCAATAATGTGAAAATGATTTTGTCAGGGCTCTGTTCTTGTAAGAAGGGTGTCATTTGAGTAGTAACGTTAACTTGTTCCAGACTTAGGCGAGTTTTCCAATGTTGGAAGGGAGCCAGTCCGCGCACAACGACATAGTTACGCCATAATTAATTGTGTTCCTCCGATAGGAAAGCCAGGTAAGTGAACATTCTTGATCGATATATTTTTTATTTCCCACAGTGATCTTATTTCCAAAGAACAGTCTTTCTCCAAGCCCCAACAAAGCCTACGTCACTGGTTGGTCCATTGCCCTTGCAATACGTGTATGTGAATGGTTGCACATATTATATTATACATAGGGCATTGCCGTTGCACTGTTTAAGCAGAACAGAATCGCCCCACAGATTCTATAAATCGTTCCTGTTTGAGTCAGCGGTCTAAAGTGATCTGATGTACTTCGAAAGACAAAATTGTTCTATTACTACAAAGATCGTGATTATCAGCCATTTTGTGGTCAATGCAAAAGATGTGAGAGGTGGAATCTAATTGGTCAAAGGGATGAAAATAGAAGGGACATAACTCATCCTAGCCACTGACGGCGCTTCAGACCACAAAATCCCAGCAAGTTCGTCAGAGATAGACACTTGATCTTAATTGTCAGTTAATCCCTTGCCTCATGATGATGCGAAAAGGCATAGGTTTAGAATCGTTTTCTTTTCTTTGGGTCTTTGGGTCAAAGATAATTCGCTCAGGACAGGTAGACGAAAGGATTACACAGTAATCACTTACAGTAAATACTTTTCTTGGGTCATGGTCATTATTTTTTTAAGTTTTCTAAAGCTGCCTTTCACTGGTTTTAGTCATGGTCATTTTATTCGATTATGTAAAAAGTCAAAAACTTCCAAATGTAAAAATAAGTCTAGTTATCAGTCATCTGAACAGGTCGGACAATGTCAATAACACTGTGTCGCAGTTGTCCATACTTTGAGCCTTTGGCAGTTCCAGTTAGCTAAATGCGGTCCTCCTGTAGGCAGCCATGCTATCATGGGGTATTCGACGAAGAAGGAATGAAAGTTTCATAACCGTACTATATTGTTTGCAGCTGTAGCCTACAACTGGCTAAAAGGCAGCGGCAGTAACTTCATCCGCACCGACATCAACCCTCACATCTTCATCTCCTACAACGGCAAGCTATACTTCAGTGAAGTGACCGACACTGACGAGACGTACTATAGGTGTGTGGTGAAGCTGATCTCCGAGAGCAGTGCGGTCATCGGGTCTCACCAGCCTCCGAGCAGACTCAGCACTCCCATCGATCTCCAGCTGATGGATGGACGTGAGTTAGATAGAAACATTGGCATAACAGCAGTGCATGAGTAAGTTTAGTTTTACGCCACACTCAGGAATATTCCAGCTATATGGCGGCAGGCCTGTAAATAATCGAGTTTGGACCAGACAATCCAGTGATCAACAGCATGAGCATCGATCTACGCAAAAGATATACCATGACATGTGTCAACCAAGTGAGCGATCCTAACCACCCGATCCCGTTAGTCGCCTCATACGACAAGCATGGGTTACTGAACACTATTCTAACCCAGATCTTCACGGGTTTGGAAACAATGACATAACATCAATGTGTTTTAGGTCGTAGAAAAATATTATATTCTGTTTTTGTATGTTTGTAGTTTAACGTGGTACTCAGCAATTGTCCAGCTATATAACGGCGGCATGTATATAATCGAGTCACACTATCCAGTGATTGACATCATGAGCATCGATCGATGTAACTGGGATATGGTGGCATGTGTCAACCAAACGAACCTGACCATTCGACCCTGTCAGTCGCCTGTTACGACCGCTGTTGGTTGAATGACCAGATCCTAGATTTTCGAAGCTATCTTAACGCTAAGATAGTCGTAAGTTAATGTTAATGCATGGCACTTACGACTCTCTTAGCGCTAACAGAGCTTCGAAAATCTAGGCCCTGGTCGCGACACACCAGTGGCATTTGCTACATTGCCTGGTGCCTCACTGGGGATATTTCACTTGTTCAGCACTAAACAACTGGAAACAGAGGGGCATGCACATGCTTGCACGTCACTTTTGAATTTTTATTTTAATGAAAGTAACGTAAACCCACATTTCTACTCACAACACGTTATCTCACCTGTAGAGGTAGCCTAGTGGTTAAAGTGTTCGCTCATCACGCCGAACACCCGGGTTCGTTTCCCTATATGGGTACAATATGTGAAGCCCATTTCTGGTTCCCCTGCCGAGATATTGCTGGAATATTGTTAAAAGCAGTGTAAAACAAAACTCACTCACTCACTATCTCCCTCTCTCACCTGAATATTTTCCTGATCGGTCTGTGTGATGACAAATGTGTGTTCATTGTCTTCACTGCTTGGTTGAGCATATTGGTGCAGCTCAGTTTTCTTTCAGTGGTCACGGATTGGGGCCCCGAAATATCCAATGACTTTGTGGCATCCTTCCCACGTCTCCCTAACCGAGGAGATAGGGTCCGTCTTGAATGCTTAGCTTATGGAACGTGAGTATATTGTTCAAATCAACACTGCAGTTGTTGACGTTATGACATTATAATGACGTTGTTTAGCGATGATGTTTTGACATTATTATGACGTATTCTAGCGATGATGCAATGACATAATTATGACGTTGTCTAGCTATGACATTACGACATTATCATGACGTTGTTTAGCGATGACGTTATGACATTATTATGACGTTGTTTAGCGATAACGTCATGACATAATTATGACGTTGTCGAGCTATGACGTTACATTATTATGACGTTGTTTAGCGATTACGTTATGACATTATTATGACGTTGTCTCGCAATGACGTTATTACATTATTTTGACATTGTCTGCATCCTGTGCAACCGTGGTAATCCAAGTCATTAATTACTACAAACACGTCAATGTATCTCTGACATTACCTGTGTCTGGAACCGTTTTGTTGTGTTTTCCTGTTGATGCAATATGGCCTTGTGTTTGATCAGGATGCCCATCGCGTACTCCTGGCAGCGCGAGGGTGGGTTGCCGATGCCTCTTACCGCTGTGCTGGATGATCACAACCGGGTGTTGTATATCGACAATATCCAACTAGAGGACGCTGGGACATACACGTGTTACGCCGCACGAGGGTCATTTGGCAGTGCCCAGAAGTCTTTCTCTCTGAAAGTTGAAGGTGAGTCATTGGAAGGGAGTCGATGTGACATTGAGTGAGTGAGAGGATGAGTAGTTGGGTGGTTGAGTGAGCGAGTAGGTTACTGGGTACATAAGAGATGGTGACTGAGTGAGTGAGGGTTTACGCCGCTTTTAGCAGTATATTCCATCAATATCTCGGCGGGGGGACACCTGAAATGGGCTTTACACATTGTACCCATGTGGAAATCGAAGCTTTATCCAGTAGTGTTGGTCCGATTAATTGAAATAATCGAAGATTTGTCGCTGTGACTAAACGACCAAGCAATCGATCATGTTTTCTCATAATCGAACACAAACAATTCTAGAACACTTGTTTTCATTAACAGTATTTTTCACTAGGTTGGTTTTGTCTGTTACATTTCATAAGCACTACAAGCTCGTTCCAAGTCATGATTGAATTTATCTTAAAGACTCTAAGAAATTTATATTCCTCCATACTAGTCATCCTTTAAACATGTGAAATTTTGCCCCCCAAAAAACCCAAAGAACTACATGGTTTTTTCCTTATTTTTTTGTGCATTAACACATTTCATAAATGACGCTAACCAATTATTTTCGATGATTGATCGGTTGTAATGAACCAATCATCGATTATGAGATTTTAACCAATTCCCAACACTATTATCCAGTAGGCTACCCCACCGCCAATACAACTTATAGCTTATATGTCCTTCAGTATTGATTGTAATTGAGAAACAGTTATGTGTGAAGAAGAATCACTGACGTGTATGAATAAAAGCACGTGTTCTCCATGTGACAATGATTCTTAGCAATTATTCGTCTATAGAAATAAGTGTTCTATTTGGATTTACAGGCAATTACCAAGCGGTTCGGTATAATGATGTTTGGAAACAATTAGTTATAATCGAAGGATTTTGAACCAGATGACATACATGTATATTGCACACTCGCAGAAATCATTCGAAGTGCAGTGTTAGTCGTAACATTCTATACTTAACAGTGCATGAGTGTTGAGTCAAGGTCAGAATAGGCGATTGAAAAAGAGATTGGTCATGAGTGGTAATGGTATGGGACTTGGCTAATGGTAATTGTTTGTAACCTGACTATATCGTTGTTAATGCTTATGGTCTAATTGACACAGTAGCCCACATTGTAACATATTTCTCTTTATTACCCTCTGCGGGGGGTAGTCCAGTGGTTAAAGTATCTGGTCGTCACGCTGTAAACCCGGGTTCGATTCCCTACATGGGTACAATACGTGAAGCCATTTCTGGTGATCCCTGCCGTGATATTGCTAGATTATTGCTAAAAGCGGCGAAACATAAACACTCACCCAATCTCTGCGGTGTTAAATAACATTAACTCACCCTCTTTGACACAGACTTACACTAGGCATTTAACTGAATTTGTACAGTCAAACCTCGCTTATACGGACACCTTGTTTTCTCAAATATTGTCCGGATAAACGATTTTCCGTATAAACGTATTCTCTGTGTTTAAGCTGTGCCGTACTTCATCTACCCACTGCGGGACCAGCATGCGGACATCAGCAGTAAGCTCACATGGCGATGTGAAGCCCGAGCGGTGCCAAACCCAACCTACATGTGGCTCAAGAACGGTCAACCTTTGAACTCCATTCCTGGAGACGTCGTCATCTCGGGTAACATCCTCACCATCAACTCCCTGGACCCACAGAGGCACGCCGATATGTACCAGTGCTCGGCAACAAATACTCATGGCGTGGCCTACAGCAGTGCTCAGCTCAGGATCCTGGGTGAGGGAACTTTGCTATAATGTTTGTTTGTTTGTTTGTTTGTTTAACGCCGCAGCCAGCAATATTCCTGCTATACGTCGGTCTGTAAATAATCCAGTCTGAACCAGGCAATCCAATGATCAACGGTATGAGCATCGATCTGCACAATTGGAATACGATGACATGTGTCAGCCAAGTCAGCGAGACAGACCACACGATCCCGTTAGTCGCCTCTTACAACACGCATTGGCTGCTGAAGGCCAGTTTTATCACAAATCTTCACCAATCTTACTGTACTGTAACATTTGATATAAATTATCGTTTAACTGAGATAAGCTTTTCCGCTCTTTTGATGCACGTATGAATTAATACATTGCTCCTTTAAATTGAGGGGGTGGCCTTGTGGTTATAGCGTTCACTTATCACGCGGAAGACCTAGGATCGTACCCAACATCGGTACAATGTGTGAAACCTATTTCTGAAGTTTCAACGTGGGTACAATGTGTGAAGCCTATTTCTGAAGTTCCCCGTCGTAATATTGCCGGAATATTGCTATAAGCGGCATAAAACCCACCCACTCATTCACTCCATCACACTGAAATTTGAACCGTTGCAGTTGTGAAAAGCATTCCCATTGAAGGACAGAATAGATGGTGCCGATTACTTGAAGATCAATGCAAATAATCTTGTTATGATTATGTACTAAAAACAATGCATTTTCATCTATCTCCTCAGCCTTTAAACCCTCTTTCGTGAAGCATCCCTTGGAACCTACCAATATGGGGACAATAGGGGGAAACGTGACACTCATCTGCAACCCCGAGGCCGCCCCTTTCCCCTCCTACAGGTGGGCCAAAGATGGGATTGGTCTTAACCTTCCTGACGGGTCGACAACAGCACGTGTCCGGAAGTTGAAGAACGGCAACCTGTTTATCTCCCCTGCCCAGTTGTCCGACAGTGGGCACTATGATTGCACTGCAGAGAATGTGTATGGCTCCGCCACCAGCTCAGGACAACTGACCATAATAAGTATGTAGATGTTACGCTATGGAAGTATAGTTCGGATGGGTTTTACGAAAGATGTTAATTTGCCTTAAAGGGACACTGATCCAGAGCAATTTCCATGGACTGTTTGTTGTTTTTGTTATTGTTTTCCTCCCGTGAATACCCGGATGATATCCCAGAATTTTTGGACTGATTTGTGATCTCTACTGCGCCACCCGCAAGCGCAATTGGTAGTATCAGTATACATTGATCAGCAAAGATGAATACTTTTTTACTCATTAATATATCCATCCCCATTATTATGATAACACATGAAAACGTTTGTAAGTTTGACTTCATCTGCCAGTGGTAAAACATTTTAGGACTCTAAAATAACGATGTCAATGTAGTAGAATGTACGTCTTTTGCCTGATAATCCTAATTAGTTAATTATTATGTTTGTATGCATTTTGATGCTTACACTAATTGTTTATAACATGACTGTAATATATAGACATTTTATAGATTGCCAACACGAATCATATTTCACCCAAACGCCCTAAGTGCGACTTGTCTGTCTCATTACACTTCAGAGCGAAACAAATGAGTGCTACAGCAGAGTAATAAAACAAAATACAAATATCAAAATTAAAACAGACTAAAGATATAGATAGCAATAATATCAGGCTATTACCTTGTTCAAGGAATGTATCCATCAATATCCACATAAAGGAATGATATTCGTATGTAGCTGACAAAGAATCCTTTTAACACTCTAAATATGCGAAAAAGTTATATAATGTCATAACTAGTTGATAGTTTCTCAACTGGTCACGTGACTGTCTCATGTTTTACACATTGGTGTATAGTCTCATTGGTCACCCAAGATAGCCCACCTAACAACTACTCGCATGATGTCCACCATTCTTTAAAAAAAGTAATTTAGTTAGCCAACAATGATCAATCAACGTATTGGCGGTTAATCCTTGTAGGAAGGGCGTTGTTTTTACACAGGCACTTTACTACAGAATATGGGCATATTCAATGTACGTTAGTAAATCTACATACATAAACACTACCCTTTGACAATTCCACTGTGCAATATAAAAGTAATTAATCAATCAGCGTGCTATCGGTAAAACCTTTGATCGATGTTTGTTTTTTAACTCGGCTGATAATTCCTCTTGCCGCACTTCAATGCGCATATTGCATGACATGTAATACATTTGCCCCATCAGACCTTAATTCAGAATGCTGAGTATTTACTCCAGACACGAGAAAGTTTTTGAGTTTAGTTTTACGCCGCACTCAGCTATACTCCAGCTATATGGCAGACACGAGAAATGCTAAACCGGGTAATGACAATGACAATGATGACAATACTTTAATCTGAATGGTTATAAATTCATTAACTCCCCATCAAGCGAATGACAAACAGGTGTAGGTTTATACAACCAAACACGGGTTACAGCAAGGGAGTAGTAATCGCTGTATTGCATGCAATTTTAATTGCCTAAAAACACATAGGGGTAGACATTGTTTTAAGGATACGAACAGAACTTCATTGTTGCATAAGAAATATATATAAGCATCTGCTGTGTACTAAAGTTAAAAACTGTATATACTTATATTTACCTTAGTAAATTTAAGATTTTTCTTGCAATGGCAAAGTGGGGTTGTTTGGTTTACCGATTCAAATAATTTAAATGTGTGTTTTTAATCTCATAGATAATAGACATCACATTTTTACAAGACGTGATTAAGCATCGAGGTAAAAAAAAGCTAGAAAAGGATCAAATTGGATCAGTCATTAGAAAATCCGAAAATGCCTTCACTGCTGGGATATTACAATCAGACAAGAACTGCAGGGGATATTTTCAACATAACGGCGTCTGATGGGCATCCACCCTTCCTAATGTCCCACTGTTTTGGTGGAAGAATTTCTGCCAAGTTGGACAGTAGCCCAGTCCCCTTGTCCGCCACGGTCGAGGGAGCAGAGACTGACCAGCTTGCAGCTAGGATTTGTAATAAGATTGTTAGCGTGAAACATTAATTGCTCTGGATCAGTATCCCTTTAACAGTCCAAACCGAAGACCACGTTGTCAAAGGCCATCACCCACTCACCTACACACCAACAAACCCACACACTCGCTTACTCACTCACACACTCTCTCACCTACTCACTTACTCACTCACTCATCCACTCATCCATTCAGTGGTTCAAACAGATTCGTCTCCAGATTGGCCCCAACCAATGCACCGATAAATGTAACTTCGATACCTGTAACATTCGGCCTTTCTTCCCTCATTTGGGGGATTTGGGGTATTAGCCTGATGTTTAACGCGCCCGCTCGTCACGCTGAAGACCCGATATTTCGATAAACCACAAGGGTGCAATGTGTGACTGAGTCCATTTCTGGTGTCCCCAGCCGTGATACTTCTGGAATATTGCTAAAAGCGGCGTAAAACCATACTCATTCACTCTTCCCTCAATTGAGCCGTCACGCCGTCAAGTAACAGACATGTTGTGCAAACACTTCAGTCTTTTGTTTTATACAGTTTTTCAAGAATTAGTCGAATTATTTCGTCCCTGAAAATAGTAATGATGTGTGATGTGAAAATGTTATTACTGACTACACATTTTGATTCACTAACCTTAAATACGATGAGGCTTATTTTGATATATTACAGCTTTTATGAGACAATAACATGTTAAATGTACGGGATAATAACATGTTTATTGTATGGGACAATAACAATGTTAAATTATGGGACAATAACATGTTATTGTATGGGAAAACAACATGTTTAATGGGACAGTAGCATGTTTATTGTATGGGACAATAACATATCAAATGAATGGGTAAATAACATGTTATTGTATGGGACAATAACAATGTTAAATTATGGGACAATAACATGTTCATTATATGGGACAGTAACATGTTTAATGGGACAGTAGCATGTTTATTGTATGGGACAATAACATGTTAAATGAATGGGACAATAACATGTTATTGTATGGGAAAATAACAATGTTAAACTATGAGACAATAACATGTTCATTATATGGGACAGTAACATGTTAATAATGACTTCATGTATGATAACTATGTCCTGTCCTTCTCAGACGGTTTGACCATCACTAACGCGCCGTCGTCGACGCAGGTGGTTGTGAACAACACGGCGTTCCTGATGTGCCAGGCGTCGCACCAAGACGACGTGGAGATGGTGTACGACTGGCACTTCCAGGGAAAACCTGTCGACTTCACAGATCCTCACTTCAAACTCGTATGGTTCAAACTTCAAACTTCAAAGGATTTTACCTGCTAAATGAAAAGATCAATGTTGTATGCATGCAGAAATACGTCAAAACACACGGGGGCGGTGGGGTAGTCTAGTGGTTAAAGCGTTGGATCGTCACGCCGAAGACCCGGGGTCGAATCCCCCATGGGTACAATGTGTGAAGCCCATTTCTGGTGTCCCCCGCCGTGATGTAGCTGGAATATTGCTAAAAGCGGCGTAAAACCAAACTCAGTCAGTCAAAACACACGGCTGCAATAGCAATAGCCCCGTTAATATTCCGGATCAAAATTTATCTTGAGCAACCCTTGACTGACTTACGAGGCGATAAACGAAATTGGATGGTTAGACGAGCTGACTTGATTCATGTACGTCATAGTGTCCCGATAGATCGATGCTCATGATGTCAATCACTTGCTTGCAATGCAGACAAATTATCAACAAATCGCCGTTATATAGCTTGAATAAGTTGAGTGCATAAACAGAATAACAATATCTGAGTATAGTCTAGTAAGTAAATAGGCTAGAACTAGAACATCTAGTTTGGAGCTTTATTTCTCAAACGTATTTTCATGTATCTTTAATAACTTAATAGTCCCCTTACGAAAACGCATCCAAATGATACCTAACCAGGTGTTATAATGTTCTCAGTCGTAATACAAATTACAATTTTCTCGCATGTAATGTCAGTAATACAAATTACACTGCTTTCGGCCACGTAGGTTACTTCAATAATACAAATTACAATGCTCTCTACTACGTAGGTTATAGTTACTTCAATAATACAAATTACAATGCTTTTTACCACGTACGTTATTTCAATAATACAAATTACAATGATCTCTGCCACGTACGTTATTTCAATAATACAAATTACAATGATCTCTGCCACGTACGTTATTTCAATAATACAAATTACAATGATCTCTGTCACGTAGGTTACTTCCGTTTTACAAATTACAATGCTCTCTGCCACGTAGGTTACTTCCGTTTTACAAATTACAATGCTCTCTACCACGTAGGTTACTTCAATTATACAAATTACAATGCTCTCTACCACGTAAGTTACTTCAATAATGCAAATTACAATGCTCTCTACCACGTAGGTTACTTCAATAATACAAATTACAATGCTCTCTACTACGTAAGTTACTTCAATAATACAAATTACAATGTTCTCTACTACGTAAGTTATTTCAATAATGCAAATTACAATGATCTCTACCACGTACGTTATTTCAATAATACAAATTACAATGCTCTCTACCACGTAGGTTACTTCAATAATACAAATTACAATGCTCTCTACCACGTAAGTTACTTCAATAATGCAAATTACAATGCTCTCTACCACGTAGGTTACTTCAATAATGCAAATTACAATGCTCTGTACTACGTAAGTTACTTCAATAATACAAATTACAATGTTCTCTACTACGTAAGTTATTTCAATAATACAAATTACAATGCTCTCTACCACGTAAGTTACTTCAATAATACAAATTACAATGCTCTCTACCACGTAAGTTACTTCAATAATGCAAATTACAATGCCCTCTACCACGTAGGTTAATTCAGTAATACAAATTACAATGCTCTCTACCACGTAAGTTACTTCAATAATGCAAGTTACAATGCTTTCTACCTCGTAGGTTACTTCAGTAATGCAAATTACAATGCTTTCTACCACGTAGGTTACTTCAGTAATGCAATTACAGTGCTTTATAACACTTAGGTTACTTCAATAATGCAAATTACAATGCTTTCTACCACGTAAGTTACTTCAAGAATGCAAATTACAATGCTTTCTACCACGTAGGTTACTTCAATAATCCCGGATGGGACACAGCCCAACAAAAGCATTCTGAATCTAGACTCTAGTCTAGTCTAGAATCTGTACTCTACTAAGAAAGTGTAATCCCAAATAAATAAAATCATATATATGTTACATTTGCGCTCTACCTCAATAGCGGGATGCAAATTGCTCACAAAAATTAATCACGTATTCGAGTGAAATCATTTATTTTGCCAAGGTAACATAATGGCTGCTTACAACCAAGAATTGAAAACTTTTGAAAATATAACAAGGTAACAAGATCGGTACACTCTTAAAGAATCTAATATATTCGTTATAACAAGGGATAACCACCTAAACCGATTAAAGCACACACCTAGAAATCAGTCATGGCCCTCATTACCAAACCTGGGAGTACTTGTTTCCCTAACACTGTAACTGTGTTCTTGCTTGGTAGACTAACTAATCCCCAGCAAGTACAGTGCAGGATAAAAGATAGTGAACTTGCAAACATTGACCAAACTGTGTGAAATGAAACTTTAGGAATGCAGGATACACATGAAACCAAATGCCATGAAGTGACAAATACTTTCAAATTCTCTGAAAGTTCAATCATAAACCATATCTGTAGTCTGTTTAAGGAGGAAACGTGGTTTAATAGTTTTCCAACCACTAGATATAAACCACTATATATTAACGAACATTTCTGTCTTCAGAAACACTGCCTTGTCCTCAGATAGACTTAAACTGGGCAGATTTCAAGAAATTGAAACTGAAAACAATCATATAAAGATTTAATAAGCATGTTGAGGTTATCTTCATAAATCTTTGTTCTTTAAGAGGCATTTTAGAAGTTGTGAAGATGAAGGAAAACTAAGCTCTATGGATAGTCAACTTCTTAAAATGCAATGAGTGCGACGTTTCGGTGTACGTACTAACACCATTATCAAGCAAGTGATATAACAATTTGAAACAAGGAGAATATATACATTTCTGTATAGTGAATATATACAATTAACAAGGTTGATGTACATTAGATATTTAATAAGTGATTACAGCAGATGTACAGAGTGATTGATTGTGATTAGAGTTGAGTTTATACAATTGATGAGTGTGACGTACAATGGGAGGATGATAAGTAAGTAGGTTGAAGTACTCTAGTTGTGATTGCAAGCACAAAGGGGAGCGTGGAAGCCATATGGACAAAGGAGGTATGAAAGGATTACTGGTGGTGGTCTTTGATTAGGTTTTGATAGGCTGAGGAGATGAAATAACCTTGATCACGATTCATGGTGGGATTGTGGCGTTGGATGTTTATGGCTTCAAGGAGTTTCCTAATTTTGTAGTTTTGTCGGTTGATTTCCAGGATATCGATGTTGTTCCAGAGGATGGCATGGTCAGGGTTGGCTTGGGTGTGGTCGGCTATGGCGGATTTGGGGTCTTTTTTTCTGGACTGACGCTTTATGTTCTTTGATTCGTAGTGGGAGCGGGCGGGATGTTTCACCAATATAGAAGTCTCATCATTGACAACGAATCTGGTAGACTTCTCCCGAGGGGTCATCTCTTGTTGTTGACGGTGGTTTGTCTGTGGCTTGGAGGAGGTTCTGGATGGACTTGCCTTTCTGGAACAGGACGTCTATGCCTGCTTGCTGTTGAAGGAGTCGTCTTATCTGGTGGCTGACTGCTGGGACATACGGGATACTTATCACAAAGGGTGCCGATTGCCGGCGGGGTGGTTTATCGCTTGGTTTGAGGGTGATTGTGATGACATTGTTGACTAACTTCTGGAGGTACTGGTTATAATGGACGAAGACATGGCGGAGGTGGTTTAGTTCGGTTTCTATGGCTTGAGGGTTTAAATGCAGAAAGGTAAACTATTCTCAAATCTACTTATTATCATTCAATCTTTTTGGGGTATACATTTCAAATAATGATACAGCAATTATTTAACTTTAGACAAGCAACAACAAAATCTGGAAATAATAGGATTGTTGCTCAATTTTAATCCAATCGAAGTGACAGAAATATCCGTTACTAGTATGAAATGTTCCTTGTGGTTGTTATTGATGTTATGGTAATGTTTCTATTGCCCAATTGTAGGTCTGTCTTATCAAATACAGAGTGACATTACTTTGTAATCTCCGAAATGTGACTAATAACTAAACAGTTAGTGATGGTGTCATTTGTGTATTTAGAAATGAAAAATGTTCGTTACATGGTTACTTCCTGTTTCAGATGACTCTCAAATTTAAGTCTTTGGTGATTTTATACATCCTCTTTGACTTCCCAGGTGGAATAGGATTCACGTGATATTTGAAAAATAGTATCGAACATTTCAGTAACACAGATTTCATATTATGACAAATCAAGTCAGTTACCACACACAAGTTTTGAATATTTTTTTCTTTTCCTATCTGGCATACTTTGTGTTCTAAATGTAACTTAAACTATGTGAAAAAGAGCACAATTCCCGAATTTGGCGGTGGTAACGGACATTTCACTATTATTTCTACGCACGGAATATTTTCTATGTATTGAGATATACTATTCAGAGAGATATTCTGAACCCCAAATAACGACACGTACCATTAATGTAAACATAAATTGTATTCATTTATGCTTTGTTCCACACATGTAGAACTGAAAATTAGTCACGGACATTTCCTCAAAACTGGCGACATGACATTAGAACACATTGTTTTGTCTAAAAAAAAACGCACTGGCTTAACAATTTGCAGAAAATGAAACTGACCAATATCAAAGTCATAATGTACTTATATCCAGGTATCTGTATACCAAACTGCATTATGTTTAACTGCAAAGTAAGGTTTTGTTACTGGCGACAGTAACAAACATTTCAAATTGACCTATTACCGTAGCTGTAACAAATATACTTTTTGGGTTATTGGACTGCTTATGCCTGATGGATGGGTGGTACCATTATCCAACCATACTGATAATAACATTTGCTAAGGGAGATTAGTAGAAGCTTGGCGGCGACAGCATTTGCACCCCGTTCTTGAGAATGAGTGTTGAACAATTTCTAAATGGCATTGTGTAATCAAAGTTTCATTGAGTTGTTAACGTTTTAAAATTAAAAACGTATTTTATATTTTTTGGAGTATATAGGTATTGCTCCAGTTGCATATGTAGCAATGTCATGTATTTACAGGGCATCCAAACCACGTTTAGCGGCCTGTACATCATCGCAGCACAGGCACGGTTTGGTGGACAGTATGAATGCCTCGCGAAGACAGCTTTCGAGAGAGTCAGCAGAACAGCCACTCTGGCGGTTCTAGGTTTGTCCTTAACGTATATTCTTTGTTTACTTTACTGGTCTAGGTGTTATCTGTTTACACTGAAGATCTGGGTTTTATTTGACGTAGATGGGTACAGTATTTTGCCCCTGTCGTGATATGAGCGTGATGGGGTGGCCGAGTGGTTAAATCGTTCGCTCGTCACACTAAAGATCCGGATTTACTTAATGTCTGGAGTCCCTCGCCGTGATGCTGCTGGACGATTGCTAAAAGCAGCGTAAAAGCCAACTACCTCGCTATTGCTAAGACTAAGCGTAATCATCTTCTCACGATGATTATTATATCATATCAGCTAGTAATACTATATACTTATACTTGTTATGATCCCATTCTAACAAATAAAATGAACGATTTTCTTACTCATATAATCTTCATCTTTCGGTGCAGGTCCTCCTGGAGAACCATCTGGAGTGTTTGTTGAGTCTGTCCTGACCACCCATCACTCTATGGTGCTGTGGTGGACAACAGGGCCGGACAATGGCCGAAACATCGTCTGGTACGCGATAGAAGTGTCAACAAACTTTGAACCGGCATGGACCCTTCAGGTTGAAAGTATGTACATGTAATTCTAAGAACCTTTACATCTTTGTTTTTCTTACCACTAATGGTGCGATGGAGTCGAATTGTGGTTAAAGTGTTCGCTCCTAAAGCAGTTGGTTCTGGTTTGTTTTCTCAAGAAGATACAAAGTGAGATGCACTTACGGAACCCGTGTGTACCAACCTTAACTCCAAATGGACACTCATTGACATTCATGACTCGAAGATCGTTGCAATAATTGATACAGCGTAACAACTGTTGAAACACTGCTAAGTGAGTAATCACCCGTGTGTGAAATCATAGACAATAATGTTAAACAATATTGCAGTAGGGTTGATCACAATGTCACAATGTTCCAGTAACCTGAATGCTACGGGGGGAGAACTTGCTATTCATATTCGTATTTTGAACTATGCAAGTACTCGTTCGGATGACGAACACCTGCTATGAACACAGAGGTGACGATTTCGTCGTGGTGACAGAATGAGTGGCACGGCGCAAATGCTCACGATGAGAACGCACTGTCGCCTGTATGGCCATCTTCAACTTGCATGGGAGTTGGTTGTATATATTGTACAAGTGACCACTCTCAAGAAGGCAAAGTATCTATAAAAGATATTGGAATCGTCGCTAGAATGCTTAGCGCCCACCCATACACATCAGGCCAGATCAGGTCGGATACTTTCAACAGAGCTTCACTTTAGCAGTGTTAGTATTTCCAGTAACAGTATTACCGCATATCCAGGGTCCAGAAATCATCATCACCCCACCCCATACTTGAACATTGGGCTTCACTTACGTTCGAGCGTTGTTAGTATTTGTGACAGTATTACAGAATGCCAACGAGGGTCCAGATTTTGCAGGTGTTGTATGTATTGCCAGGTATTCCTGAAATGGATACAATCGTCCAGGGCAGGAACAAACGGAGATACCTGGTCGAGGGACTTAAACCAGGCACTGGCTACCAGTTCAGGGTGAAGGCAACTAATTTCTATGGTGTTGGGCCACCCAGTGTTGCGTCAGGTAAACTTGTTTAAATTATAACTTGCTGTACATACACCCCCAAAACACCCAAAGCCATGTCTGATTTACACGTCTGAGCTGTGTATAAAGCGGGTCTTGCATATACATATTAACAGAAAACAAAATCGATTATGTATAACATATTTTGTACCTGTTCGAGTGTTACATTGATTTGCCTTTGCATGTGTTTTTGACGGATGCCACCGGTTGGGCATTCTACACTCATATGTTCAGGAACGGTTGCTGTCATCACATTTTGGTATTAATTCATAAACACATGCTTTTAATATAATCTGTTGATGGACTCCATTAAATATTCATAGCATCATCACATGTTCACCCCAAAATACTTCTCATGTACCGCTTGCTTAACAACGACATTAGAATCTATGTCGAAACTAAATAAAGTTGTATATCCATAAATATAGTGCTTATGCTTCATCTACCCCACTTCTAGAATCAAAGTAGTCACGTGTTTACCTGTTTAAGGACAATAAAAGAATGTTTCTGTAGAGTTAAATGCCAGAAAGTTTATACCATATGTTTATTTGGAATTTAACCCTCTGCCGGTCAGGGGCGGTGGGGTAGCCTAGTGGTTAAAGCGTTGGCTCGTCACGCCGAAGACCCGGGTTCGATTCCCCACATGGGTGCAATGTGTTAAGCCCATTCCTGGTGTCCCCCGCCGTGATATTGCTGGAATATTGTTAAAAGCGGCGTAAAACTAACTCACTCACTCACTCACTCACTCACTCTGCCACTCACTCACTCACTCACTCACTCTGCCGGTCACCTGTACTTTAGGCCTTCATCCCCGCAGTACAGCTTATATGTGCTCTATAAGTTACTCTGGTTGACGAGAAAATGTTATCTGACAAGCTGCCTGTTAACCATTGAATCAACCGTCACAATAACAGACGTTAAAGAGTCAAGAACATTTGAGTATACAGGTATTTTGTTTTAACATAGTGATTACACTAATGGTAAGATTGCTTTTGTAAGAAATTGTGATAGGGATTTGAACCCTTAGTGCCAGTCGTCATCATGAAACCTTCATCATCAAAATCGTATTCTTCATCACCATGGTGTCTTACGATCTCCAGATATGTACCAGACCCCTACAGCACCCCCAGCACTTGCCCCCGAGGAGGTGGGAGGGGGAGGAGGCAGCGTTGGGGATCTCACAATCACCTGGGAGGTACTTACACTGGCTGTTGTTCAAATTCCAAAAATAGTTTAGAACTGCAAGAACACGTGTTTGACAGATCAGTCACATTAAAGCCACAAAAACATTTCCAATCACAATTCGGAACCATACATGTAATTATGCACGGCTGTGTCAAAACGAAGGATGTTTCATTGGTCATCTGTGTATTACTGTCCAACAAAACAAAACAAAAGTTAAAAGTCTTCTGAAAATTATCTTAGTCTCCACCAGAGCAGAGATGTCGTTTCAGGTCATTCGAATCTAACGTGACCATTTATAGCGAATAAATAAGAAAAATAGATCTCACATTATTTTTAACATCCACACTTTTTTTTTCAGTATTTATCAGTCTGCTGGTCAAGCATATGTACATTTATACATGTGAAATGAGATCTTATTAATATCCTATTTCTCAGAATGGATTGAACAGTTCGACATTTCATTACGTGAACTTAATACTTAATAGTGATGTATTTTGTACTACCAATGCAAACTCTCTCGTAGATTCTGGAAACTGAAAGTTTTAGGATAAAAAAGGTTTGTCTGTGACCACAGGCTCTACGAACTTTCTGGGTCTTCAGGTTTTTACCCTGCGCTTGTGTAGATCTCCGATCGGGGATATCCAACTCCGACTTCCCATGTTGGCAAGAGTTTCTGTAATTCTGAATTAATGTGACTTTTTTCAAGCCGTGAAGTTCATTTACCGTTTGATGTTTCTGTTTCTCAGCCTCTTCTAGAAGGGGATCACGGAGCGCCTGGGTTTGTTTACAGAGTCTACTGGCGACAGCAGGGAACTGATCGTTGGGCAGCGGTAGTAGAATACTTCTTAACCATTTCTTTTTTTACTTTGATACACGTCATCCTTGTAAGCAGTTGAAAATTTATTCATATAGATCATGATTAGATATATAAAAATACATGGATGAAGGACCTAAATGCCACCGTGGTCTCATATATAAAACGTCTGTAAATGTCGGTAGTTCGAAACTCTCTTCTCGTCAGATCAAAATATTTGTAAGACAGTATTTGTTATCCCTCTGGCCATCGGCTGTAAGGGACCGGACGAACTAGAGTTATGTTGTCCGTGATATTGTACATCACAGACGTACAGATCCGGGTTGCAATTGGTCCTCAGCAACCAATGTTTCTCGTAAGAGGAGGCGACTAACGGGATCGATGCTCATGTTGTTGATCACTTGATGGTCTAGTCCAGATCGCCGCCATATAGGAATATTGCTTTTTTAAACAAAAAACGAACATTGTACGTCAACGTAGAACCGTACAAACCATACATCCGGACAAGTACACACAATCATGTGACTACACGTCGCTATGAAAGTGAAACATTCTTTAACGTGACATTAGATGCTATCTCACCCAACCTCACCCAACCTCATCCCACTAAACCCCATCTCATCTCACCCTACGCAAACCCACGGGAGCTCACTTAACCTCACCAAACCTCAACTTACCCTACGCCAGCCCAGTAGACCTCACCTAACCTCATCACAAATACCGTATCGTATCCATTTGGAACCATCGATATACTTGACGATTTCTATTTTAATTATTCAATCAGATTGGCCGTTAATAATTTGCGTATCCAATGCAGGCGAACGTTGATGCTGGAGAGTCGAAGTATGTGGAGTTAGTAGGTCAGGAAAGGTTCTACAGTCTGTACGAGGTCAAGGTCCAGGGAATCAATGAGAAAGGTCAAGGCCCCAACTCAACTACGGTCCTCATCTACTCTGCAGAAGATAGTAAGTGCTTCAGCCAGATGGTTTTTTACCTTTACTGAACAATGACTGAGTTTAGTTTTACGCCGCTTTTAGCAATATTCGAGCAACATCACGGCGGGGGACACCAGAAATGGGCTTCACTCGATATCTCCCTGTTCGTAGACTTCGCTCATCTCATCAACCCCAGCTCTGTGTATCATTCACGAGGACAAAGTTAGCTAGCCAGGCTTTTTCTGTTGTGGCTTCAACTCTGTGGAACAGCTTCCAAATATCTCTCAAATCTGCGGACTCTGTTGAGTAATTTGACCGTGACTTCAAAACCAATAACTCTGTTTATTTTATTATCTTATTTTTAACTTTGTGGAGCACCACTGCGCAGCCACCAGTTGGAAATTAGGTGCTATACAAGTGCATTATATTATTACTTTTGCCACATTTCGCTAAATGTTGATTTAAATAATACATACCGCCATTCCCTTTACAGTACCTGTAGGTGTTCCGGGGAACGTATATGCGTTCCAACACAACGCCACCGCCGTCAACGTTACGTGGTCTATGGTCCCGAACACGCGGGAAGTAATGAAAGGGACAGTATTGGGTTATAATGTGCGTTCAGTCTTCTCAGTAAACATGTAAACTGACCTACAAACCAAAGTACTCACCTGGTGCTTTGAGATCGTTTTAAAAAATAAGTTTTAAAAAATGGAATATAATCCTCCAAAACTATGGTGTACTTTCTTTTGTACTTCAGTTTATGTGCTTTCTCTAGATCTCTGTCAACAAGTATTAGATTCATTCCAAATTTTCATTTTCGCTGATGATGCATCTGAATTGTTCATGAAAATGGGCTTACTTAAACCTCTTTAAATATCTTGTATGGAATATTATCTTTTAGACATACACTCAATATATAACTGGTTTTGGTGAATATAAAAAAGTTCATTAATGAAAATCCAAATAAAAGATAACAGGATCATAATAATGAGTAAGATATTGTTGAATACAAAAAGTTCAAACATATTATCAGTACACGGAATTTGAAATTTCAATGTTACCACCGATATTTTCAGCGTTTCGTAACTGATAATGCTTTGATTTCTTCAACCAGATCAATTATTATACCATCGAGGAGGAACCGTTCATGAATACTCTGGGCCTCATAGGGCAGATATCGTCAGGGCTGGTCATCGGCCTGGAACCGTACACCTGGTACATATTCGACGTACAAGTGTACAACACAGGAGCCTTGGGGCCCGTGAGTGAAGTGTACAGACAGCGCACTTGGGGTTATCGTAAGTACTGGTCCAATAGACTGACTGACTGACTGAGTTTGGTTTTACGCCGCTTTTAGCAATATTCCAGCAACATCACGGCGGGGGGACACCAGAAATGGGCTTCACACATTGTACCCATGTGGGGATTCGAACTCGGGTCTATGGCGTGACGAGCCAACGCTTTAACCACTAGGCTACCCCACTGCCCCTGGTCCAATAGAAGTGATTAAGTGAGTTTAGATTTACTCCGCGTGTAGCAATATTCCAGCAATATTCCAGCAATATCACGACGGGGGACATCAGGAATGGGCTTCGCGCATTGTACCAATGTTAGGAATCGAACCCGGGTCTTCGGCGTGACGAGCGAACGCTTTAACCACTAGGCTACCCCGCCGCCCCCGAACTCAAAGGGACAACCAAATATGTTGTTTCAGTATAACCGTAGTTTCTTATATGCATTTCGACTCCAATATACGGCAAGTAGCCGGAACATAAAAACTGTTCGTTTTATCCGTCGGTTCGTGATCAGCGTGTTCGGTATAAACGTCGTGTACTGCAGCTCAAGTCAATGTTGTTGTTTCAGCGCCACAACTTTACCCGACAGAGGTCTACATCTTCTCCCACGGTCCGGACAGCGTTCGTGTTACCTGGAGGGGGATTTCAACCACCACGCAAGAGGAACCACTCATTGGATACAAGGTGGCGTCGCCATACTAAAACACGAAACTATGGAATCCTAGATGGGACATTGTCGTGTTGTCGCCTTTACCTAACACAAGCAAAAAGTGTCAAATTTATCCAAAATGCGACAATGCGACAACGCGACATTTTGGCCGTTTGTTGAAAAGAAAAATGTGGTTGAAAAGAAAATGGTAAAATGGTATTCAATGCGACAAATGACCCTTCTAAGATGCCATAGGAAACTGTGATCACACGAATATATTCATGGCGTGAAACTGATAATAATAATTACCGAAAATACATATGGACAGTAGATAGCATAATTGTTTTCAAGATACATCAGTGGTCCTGCAACAAGCCAGGTCAAGGTAGATAATGTCTGTTGTCCATTGATTGCTTGCTTGTTTGTTGTTTTACGCCGCACTCAGCAATATTCCAGCTATATGGCGGTGGTCTGTAAATAATCGAGTCTGTAACAGACAATCCAGTGACCAACAGCATGAGCATCGATCTACGCTATTGGGATACGATGAGATTGTCAACCAAGTCAACAAGCATTTTTGGTCATTTGAGTGAGTAAGTGAGTTGGCTTTTTGTTTCTACTTTCACGCCATACTCAGCATGGGTTACTGAAGACCAATTCTATCCCGGATCTGCACGGTGTAGTTGGTATATATATCGCCGCTGTGAACAGTATTTCAATTATATCAAGGCATGGCAGCATAATTTCAGAGGAAATCCTAGAGTCGTCGTATCCCACTTGTGTAGATCGATGCTTATGGTGTTAATCACCTGATTGTCTGATCCAGACTCGATTATTTATAGCTGGAAAATTTGCAGCATTAAACAACAAACAAACAGTACACTCTCATATAATAATCGACGAATCTCGTATCTTTCATTTATCTTCAAGACATTCCTGACCCACTCGGGACAAGCTTATCTCGTGGCCCTTTTGAGACTGGGTTCCATCTCAGCGCGAACGGACTTAGCTAAAAATATTGTCAGTTCGTAGGATTATTTCCAACGTATGTTTCTCTGATATAACACATACTTGAACATAATATGACTGAACAATATTTACTATACTTTGATATGTATGTTGATAAAAGATGCATGCATGTAAAATATATTGTAATGCGCGACGGATTCTTTGACCAAAGCACTTCAAATATCTGATTGGTTTGGCATATTTTTGGCATAACCTGCATTGATAGTAGACGAGTTTTCTTGGAGTTTGTCACGAGTGCTTCCATCATACGTTCGGTAGTAAAAGCAATTATCATTGTTTTTCTTGGATTATTTTTCTTCTGTTTTTCATTTTGGGATAGTCTGTCATACAGACCCTGAAACAAATATATCCAAGAAAGCCAATGCCTGTCTAGAATATGTGGCAAGGCTAGAATTCCACAGTTTCTGAAAATGAAGAAAGTCTCTGGGCTCCTTTGATTATATTTTATGATTTTTATAATTTAGGAACTGGGTTTTTTTCTGTAAAATATGTTCATTTAAGAGACGATGTTAGTCCAATTTGGGGGTTTCTTTAGGTTTTGTGGTGATTTTCATACGGGATTATTTCGCTGTGCCATAAGAGAGTAGTTTCATTCTGGCATCAGTCGATCACCGTTTGTATTTTAGGTGCGCTACTGGCCCTCCACCGAAGACATCCGAACAGCTCGCGATGCCATGGCCGGAAAGTCCTCGGAGGTGGTGATCTACGGAGTGTATGCAGACTTCCTGTACCGACTGCGGGTGTTCGGATACAGTCGAGGAGGGGATGGCAAAATGAGCCCGGATGTGTACTACACGCTAGGTTGGTAGTTGTCCGTCCCACAGTCCCTGAACCAGCTTATTTTCACTTCCGTCTGTCATTTTGTATCATGATTTCGCCGCAGATGAAGCATTGCTGCATTTTCGTCAGGTTCTGAGTCTCCCATCTCATTGTCTCATTGGCTGACTGACTGACTGAGTTTAGTTTTACGCCGCTGTTAGCAATATTCCAGCAACATCACGGCGGGGGATACCAGAAATGGGCTTCACACATTGTACCCATGTGGGGAATCGAACCCGGGTCTTCGGCGTGACGAGCCAACGCTTTAACCACTAGGCTACCCCACCGCCCCTTGTCTCATTGGGGTTCATTTCAATTTAATTGCCATTGCTTGTTCCCATCAAAGTTATTCTTGCAGAGACTAAGCGTTAGTCAAGGTGGGTAGATTCTGGTAATGTGCAGAGAATAGTTATGTTGTCATTTTTTGTAAAATGTGTCAGATTGCTTATGAACAGACTGTATCTATATTCGGTGTAAAACTTTCCACTACGTGTAGAATACAGTCACGTAGAAGTAATTATCATATGTCACACATCAGTGACAAAGTTATGTCCGTTTCCATTCCCTATTTTCACTTGTACCATATATTCCCCTGATGTGTAGGGTGTACCTTGTAAGTGACAACTATACTGAGACTCCTATAATCGAGTCTGCTTTCAGCAAATATTGTAAGTTGTAAATGACCGATCATTTAATAGCCTAGGGGGTTTGTTGTATGAAAGGTGCTTGTTGTGACAGTTGTTTCCTGCTTCAAACCACGCAATAGTTTTCGAGCATAATATAATTTCATTAAAATATTAAATTTCGGTATAAATATTAGACTGGATTAGACAGAAATGATATTCCTGTCCGAGTTATCTCCCTGGGTGTTACGTGGATAATTGAAGATATGAACAACGGGTGTTTTTTATTTTTCCAGGTGGGGCAGTGAGGATTGACTCCGACACTTCCGAGATTAGAGCAGCTGCCCCTACAATATGTCCGTCAATCATGTCGATGATGATCAGCGTCTCAATACTGATCCTGAATAGTGCTCACTCCATAAACGTCATGCTGACATCATGAAAGCGACACTGTTGGTATAACCACACTCGATACATTTAATATCAGAAGTTGAAATGTTTGAAAACCATCTGACAAGTTCAGACAACCATCCCATCATCATCACCATAATCAGCATTATCGTCTTTTGAGCGTAACTTTATGATGCTCCTTCTGTCTCTCTGTAAGATTTAAGATTAACGACAAATATTATCATAATAGCAAAGAATTTTTTCACATGAGTTGCTATGCTTTTTCTGTGCAATTTATTGATGCATATATTTCATATTTTCATAAGTATGGTAAAATACCAAATAAACAACAATTTATCAACATCCTTAAAAAATTGAAATATCGTCTTATCAAGCAGTGATTCGAGGAACGGCAGCTATCATAACACAAGTGTCCGCTTGTACACAACATCTTCAGAGCTACGACTCTTGTAATACCTATACTATTGTATGGTAACGTAAAACAAACTATAAATTATCTTAGCGCAGAGATTAATCACATATGCCGAAACTAAAACTTCTGCTAGCTCACAGTTTCCTATTTCAACTTAAACCATATGTGCGGGGGTGTTTTTCAGGTGAACAACTTAATAGCCTTTGCCTTTGACGGCTTCCTTGTGAGGAGACCCGTGAAGGTCCGGGTTAGTATATTGATCTTCAGTAACCCATGTTTGTCGTAAGAGGCGACTAACGGGATCGGGTGGTTAGGCTCGCTGACTTGGTTGAGACATGTCATCGTATCCTAATTGCGCAGATCGATGCTCATGCTGTTGATCACTGGATTGTCTGATCCAGACTCGATTATTTCCAGACCACCGCCATATAGCTGGAATATTGCTGAGTGCGGCGTAAAACTAAACTCACTCACTCACTCACTCACTCGTTGTGAGGACACGCTTACCGTTCGCAAAAAAAAAATCTATTATCATCACTATTTGATAGTGATCCATAAAATATTGTCATGATGTTGTCGAAATTGTACGTGTGTCGTTGTGGGCGTGGAAGGGTCTGGTCGCTAATATTCTACATCTTTACAACACATAGCTCGTATTGGTTTTAGAAAAACCTACCCGTGAAGATCCGGGTGAGAATTGATCTTCAGCAACCCATGCTTGCCGTAACAGGCGACTAACGGAATCGGGTAGTCAGGCTCGCTAACTTTGTTGACACATGTCATCGTATCCCAATTGCGTATATATATGTCCATGATGTTGATCACTGGATTGTGTGGTCCAGACTCGAGTATTTACAGACTGCCATCGTAAAGCTGGAATATTGCTGAGTGCGGTGTCATACAATATACAAACAACAAAACAAAACAGCAGCATCTTACAACAACGTACAACCATACTTCTGCGTGACCAGATGAACCACACCTTACGCAGTCTAGGTTAGGCACTATCATAACACGTCTACGATGCAAATAAGGAAGAGATTAGTTTCTATTATCTCCTTAATGGTTTAAATAAATATTCCTCGTTTAAAAACGCACATTCAGTCATTCAATATTATTTTAAGATCATATCAGATTTTGTTGAAATGTCGGCAAACAAACGTCCATTATTCGTGTGTTTAAATTACCTTCACGTGATGCGTCACTCCAACAGTCAACATATTATCTCCTAAGTGTTGCTGGTGCAGGCAAACAGTAACAGGCAAGACATAAACTATGTGTGTATAACATGTTTACAAGTTCGACCTGTATGCCAAGAAAATAAAAAGACATTTTTAAATAGAATTTTATGCTATCTTGGTTCCAAGGTATGGATGCAGTGTCATAATTCCATCGCTTCCCTGATGTCACTAAAGACAATGTACGTCGGATAGTGTTTATCAGGAAACCCATTTTCTGGACAGCTGTTCTAAGAGACCCTTTATATATATGCACAGTCGACGCACAGTAACACTAATTCGGACCTTTATTAATCGGTTGATTTCAGTTAGAACTGTCTAGGTTATAGAGGTTGCGTAGTACATGACAAATGGTTTAGTCTCTTTTCTTTAGTTTCTTTTACATCCCATTTCGCATACAAAAATAATGAAGGCTAATTGGGATTAGAAATTGCACCTCTACTCTTATAATGAACCTGACTCACTGGTCAGTGCCATACTACATCTTGATCGACTGTTGTTATAAGGACTGACTGAGTTTGGTTTTACGCCGCTTTTAGCAATATTCCAGCAACATCACGGCGGGTGTTATAAGGATATGTGGTCAATTCCAAAGAAAAGTGTACACAGCTAGGTATAAGTTGTCCAAAACAGTATTGCTTGCGCCTTGTAACTCTTTTTACCAATGTAAAGTAAAAATATTTGCCTCCTACTAATCTCTAAAAGTGACAAGTTTGTGGGTCAGTGACAAGTTTGTGGATCAGTGACAAGTTTGTGGGTCAGTGAAGTTGAAGGCTCATTTTCTGAATTGCCTACAAATACCAACATCATACCCCTGTATATCCTGTGATAATTCCTTGTATTTTATAAACGTTTATATATGTCAAACTAAATCATACCTGGTTTATTAAAACATCGAACAGTGTGGAAATTGTTTGTCTAAATGCATAGGACATGTGAAGAAAGACTGTTTACAACCAGTTTAAGGCTTTCTCTTTGTTTTGCCTCAGTGTATGTCGTAAAGTAGCATTGTCATTTTAACTGATGGAAACAGAAATTGAACTAAAATCATTACACTTTTAATTTTATTTACCAAATGCCACTAATTTACCATTGCGTAATCAACAGTCAACAGACCATGGAATGTTGTTTTAAGACTGTAGGCGAATTGGGATGTAGGCGAAATGAGAGGTGAGGTGAGGTGAAATTGGGTTTAACGTCGTGCTTGAGAACATTCGCTCATATGACGTCGTGCATGCGTGTGTATGTGTATGTGCGGCTGCTTGTACTAGCCCAGATTTAAGCTGGTTTTATAGTGCTAGCCCACTGAGATACCATGCCGCAGTGAAGCATGAATACCCCACTCAAACACATTATACTGACTCCAAGCCGACCAGTCCTTGTTGTACCAATTATTGCCGAGTGTCAGGCAGGGAATAACAAGTACCATATTTTAACGTCTTTTGGTATGATGCGGTCGGGGATCGAACCCGCGACCTTCCACTCTCCAGGCGGACGCTCTAACCACTACACCACGTTGGCGGTCTCGAAATGAGAACATGCCTGACAAATACGTGTCAGAGGTATAAATATGTCATTGCAGAATATGTCAATTCAATTTTATACCACTTTGGGCAGTATCTCACTTAAATAACAGAGTGTAACTTGATATGGGTAGAAACACCTGAATTGATGCAGGTCTGGAACATTTACCACGATGCTTAAACGCGTGATGCGTTGCTGACAAAGCATGAACATGGTAATCAGGTTGAATCTGGGCTGGGATCCCAGGACTCCTGGATTGACATGCATGATAGTCCCATGACTACCGACCGCCTCCGTGGTGTAGTGGTTAGAGCGTCCGCCCGGAGAGCGGAAGGTCGTGGGTTCGATCCCCGACCGCGTCATACCAAAAGACGTTAAAATATGGTAGTTGTTGGTCCCTGCCTGGCGTTCGGCATTAATGGGTACAACAAGGACTGGTCGGCTTGGAGTCAGTATAATGTGTCTGAGTGGGGTCTTCATGCTTCACTGCGGCATGGTATCTCAGTGGGCTAGCACTATAAAAGCAGCTTAAGTCTGGGCTAGTACAAGCAGCCGCACATACACACGCATGCACGTCGTCATATGAGCGAAATATTCTCAAGTACGACGTAAAACCCAATTTCACCTCACCTCACCCCAGGACTACCTGTGCTGCTTTATAGGTGATTGGCCCACCACGGATAAACGGTAACACGGTGGCTATATCTACGGTTAATATAGCTATATATGCAAGAACGTCAAGTATTTTTCTGTTACTATATATACATATCAGAAAAGCTACTACAACAAAGAAACACACGAACCACCTTTCATGAAAACGAACAAAAGAATCCAGAGCAAAGGTTTCCACACACACACAAGCAGAGACAGAATCTCTTGTACTCTTGAAATTGTCTGACGTACCAAGTGCTAGACAAGACGGCGATAAATCAGCAGTGTCATGTCGCCAGATGTCGTCCAAGTCAATACGTGTCTCGTAATGCCATAAATCTTTTGCTGTTTGAGTCTGCTTGAGCTAGAGCGCACCGGGAAGGGAACGCTAGTTCTGTAGACATCTCACCTACTTGGGTCACCCGCAGCTCACAGTCAAACCCCTTGCTTAACCAATGTTCAGTGAGTGAGTTTGTTAGGTTTATCGACGCTTTGAACAGTATTGGGGTATATCACGGCCTGGCATATTGATGAGGAGGAAAGTGATGCTGGTTACGGCGGAGGACAACAGAAATGGGCTTCACACGTTGTTCCCGTGTGGGGAATCGAACCCGGGTCTTCGGTGTGAGTTAAACACTAGGCAAACCCATCGGCCCCACATTGAAAGATATTTTGTGGGACGATTATACCTAAAATATAATCATTTCCTTCTTGAAATTCTGTGTTTGTGTCTGTATTTGCATAACGCAAATGAGGACGGGTCTTCCTGTAAAAGATAAAAAGGGGCGGTGGGGTAGACTAGTTTGAATCCCTACATGGGTGCAATGTGTGAAGCCCATTTCTGGTGTCCCCTGCCGTGATATTGCTGGAATATTGCTAAAAGCGGTGTAAAACCAAACTCACTCACCCACTCACTCATAGATGAGATACCTGTTTTGTCATGCCATGATATAACTGAAACATTGTTTAAACCGGCGTGTTAACCAACTCACTCACTCTGAGCGACGTCAAGGTCCAGGACTTAAACACAGCCACAGCCCTACCTCAACAGTTCATTCAGCGGGATAGTCAGGGCTTCAATGAATAAGGTCAAGGACCCAGTTCAACCGTGTTACCCGTTTATAACCCGTATATGCAGATGATAGTCGGTGTTTAAGCAAAAAGAACTTAAGTAACCCTTGGGCTATTGAGTGGAAACAGAAAGTATCATCTCAAATTGAAATCATTATGGATAAAATGTTTCTACTTCAACGCAAAGCAATAACACTCATCCAAGCCCAGACGAGTACATACCACATGATGGTTGTGGAGAGCACATTGTTCGGCAGTTACCGTTATTCGTTGTCCATGGTTCCACGCCACGAGACTGATTACGGAAGCAGAGGTCTTTCCATTTCTTTTGAAAAGAATACACATCTTATGCATGGGAACTACTAGATGTCTGAGAAATAATTCTGTAGATTCAAGACGCTTTATCGTTTTATGAAATATGTGAAACACAACAGAGTAACTAACAACATCATAAACTGAAGTACAAAAGAAAGTACACACCTGGTGCTTTTGGATTACCTTCCAAAGAGCGACGTAAATGTTTTGAAAAAGTTTTACAGTGATATATAAGTCACAGACTTTCCTAATATGTTGCCAAAACACAACAGATATCGTGCCCAATTGTGAAGTTGCCAGTCAAAATCACAACACTTTTCAAACACCAGGTGTGTACTTTCTTTTGTACGTCAGTTTATATACTGTCAGACAAAAGAAAGTATACACTTGAGATCTGCATTTGAGCAAATAATTACAAATGCTATCAATTTTGTCTTCCAGCAAACATAAGATGAGTATGAAACCCGAATGAAATATGTCACCATCGACTATATTAACCATTTCTAGATTTTGTGTTTTAGTCCTCTAGCCACGGTCAAACATTGATGTATAATTTTTTTGCCCGGCACTTGTCAGTAAATCTTCTAACATCGCGGTAATGTTTCTCCATTTTGAAATAATAAATACTCTGGATCTGTTTGTCACCAAACGTTGGTTGATGATGGTCGGGAATTCACGAGAGCCTGCGTGCGTGCGTGCGTGTGTTTGTTGTTCAACGCAGCACTCCCAGCTATATGACATCGGCCTGTAGATGATGGAGTCTGGACAAGATATTCAAGTGATTGACATCATGAGCATCTATTTAGTAGAGATACGAAGACTATTTCTAACCTAGAAATGTACCTGTGCGTGCGTGCGTGAACGATTGTATTTAAGACGCAATTATAATATTATGTTAAATAATTGTTTTACAAATCACCCGGGACACATTTTATAAAAGTCTTCCTGCATGTGGCACATCTCACCATGCATGCTTTTGTATCGTTGTTGTTTTGGGTTTGCTTGCTGCTGTTGCTGTTGTTGTTGATTGTTTGTTTGGGGGTTTTAGGTGTGCTTTTTTCTTTCTTTTTTTTTTTTTTTTTTGGGGGGAGGGGTGTTGTTTGTTTGTTTGTTTAGAGTTTTATTTGTTTTATTGGGAGGGGGTTGTAGTTACGCTACGCAGTTGTTATAGGTCGTCTTGCCGCTGACCTGTTCCTGGTGTATTTGGTGTTGGATAACCTGGTGGGTAAAGCGTTCGCTCGTCTCGCTGAAGGCAGGGGTTCCATTTCGGCATGGGTGTGAGGTGGGGACACTCTTTCTGGTGCCATCTGGTGATATGGCTGGAATGTTGCTAGACGCAGTGTAAAAGTAACTTGGTGATGAGACAAAAATATTTATTGGTATGATGTTGTTTTCTAAACAGATAACCTATCTTAAAGTTGGCCAGGTTTCGATACTAGTGCAGAACATAGAGGCTCACAAGGGCCTGAGAGCTTAGACTGGCATCGGGATATACACTTTAAATGGCAAATATATTTGTCTTCCTGTTTTCCAGCAAGTTGGGATCCAGTCTGAGTAGTGTACCAGCAACGGCCATTGGGATAGTGAGTGAGTTTAGGGACCGTTCATAATTTATGGCTGGGGGTGGGGTGTGGGTGGTGATGATGATGTTTTTAGGGGGTCAGCCATTTTGTTCTGGGGAGGAATGGGGGTCATCAATTTTGTACACATGTACTAGGGGTCATCAATTTTGTACATAAAAACATTTGAAAATTATGCGTGAAAAATATCTGAAGGGTGTGGGGGGTCATTGATTTTGTACATGACAAGCAAGGGGGGTCACTTAGTTTGTACATAAATTTAGGGGGGATCAGTCACATTGTACATGCTTCTCCATAAAAATCATCATCAACATATCATAAAATGTACACTGTAAATACTCGTGAAATGCGTTTTCTGTAATATTTCACTAATAAAAAAAAAATAAAAAAATGAAATAAAAAATCATCAACATATCTACATGAACACAATGCCGCCCACGAGCTATATTGGATACAAAAGGGAACAATATCCGGGTAGGACGTTGTGTGCTAGCAACCATTGTACAAGCTGTGTCGTCGCCAGATGACGAACACGAGCATCTTAGAACACGGCACCTTATTCTGGCCAGAGACTAGCCAGGAAGGTGTTCTAACATGTGTCTTGTGGGTCAGTGGCGTCGACACTCACCCATTTCTTCTTATCACAGTATCAATGTGATTCTTTAGATAAATGTTTAGAGTGTGTGTGTGTGTGTGTGTGTGCGTGCGTGTGCGCGTGAGTTTTTGTGTGTGTGTGTGTGTGTGTGTGCGCGCGCGTGCGTGTGCGTGTGTGTTAACAGTTAAGATTTCTCACTGGCAACACGGTAGATACCCTTGATTCTATGTAAGTTTAGTTTAAAGTGGTTCATGTATTTTCATTTCGAGCACCAACCCATAATTGTAGCATTTTTATTCTATAAATCGAGTAATACAAAAATAATTGAACATGCAAATCGGGGTGAAACTAATTATTGAAAGACATAAGTGAGTTTTACGTCGCACCCAGCAATGTTACAGCTATATGGCGGTGTTGAAAGACATTACCTATGCACCTAAGATACATAATTGACTGATACCGTTAATTCATTCAATTATACAAATTTCAAGAAGGAAATATAGACACAAAATTTAGACAAGCAATATATTTGAAAGGGCATGATTGAAACGCGGTTTACGAATGGTAGTCGTTCTAGTCAATGTGTTCCTTCCGAAATAAGAAATATTTTCGAAAAAAAGCTCTTTTATTTGTCTGAATAGTTCTTCGAAATAATTGTATGTACAGTAATAAAACATAATATCAGTCATTAAACTGGTTATCACAGGAAAGTATTGCGTTTCAAATATTTTGCGTGATGTACTATAGTACTATATTGCAAAACTCACCTAAAAAACAAATAACTTGATAAAGTTCACTGGGACGGGATAATCTCATTATAATCTGTTTACAAGTTATTCGACTTTTGACTTATGTTTGTATGCTTTAAGGAAAATATTTGACACAAAAATCATCGATTTGTATGAGCAATATAGGAATACCAGCAACATCACCGTGATGAAGATCAGTACGTCAACACACATGAATTGATACCATGCAAGGTCAAGGCCAGCTGACCGGAAGTAGCTGCCGCCATATTTAATCACGTGATTTATCCAGTACGCTGCTTCCTGTCGTGGCGTAAGAGTTTTGTCTTTAAATATCATCGAAGCTTTGACAACGTTTTCCTTGTATATTGGGGAGTCTATCGCAGTTGTTATTGCTTGTGCAAGTTCTTCAGCAGAATGTTTGTGAAAATCCATAGCAATTCCATACTTCTTCCACGCCATTCGTCTACTATTGTAATGTTGTTCAGCATAAACAGGCATCCCGATCATAGGAACACCATGATATATACTTTCATACTGACTATATGCACCGCAATGAGTAATGAACAGTTTTGTTTTGGGTTGGCCCAAAAGGTCATTTTGAGGTATCCAGTCAGACACAAGAAATTTATTTCCAATCGATGAGTTAATACTTGATCTCCAAACGAAAGAGTATTTTGTTAACGTGAAGGCACGTACAAGTTTATCCTCAAACTGCTTCGGTAACGCTTTTACACTCCCACCAAACGACACAACAACAACACCAGTTTTGGCATTTTCGTAAAAGGCCTTGAAGCGTCCTTGTAACGGTTTAGAATCGTGAACAGACAGTCCACCAACAAACTTAGTATTGGGCATCGATGATCTTGGAAAATCTAACACTATGTCTTGTTCAACCAACCACAACTCTGCCTTGCTCACCAAGTTAGTCAGAGAAATGTACGGTTTCTCCGAGGCATAGAGAGAAACCATTGAGTCGGACATGAGAGGGTTGGCTACCATCAGTAGAACGTGTTGCAGCGTGCTGACAACCCGGTCCTTAAAACCCATAGTATCGGATGCGCCAAGTCCTATTATAGGAGAAAAGGATGGATATGTAGGAGCTCCTGTTCTCCAGGAGTCGTAAAATGGCCCAATGAAACAAAAAGGGATATCAAGTTTGTAGGCAATGATTGCATATGGCATACCAACGGTCCCGTCCACTAGCACCAGATCGAAGTTATGGCTCTTGATAATATCCAGCAACTTAGCATCTCGTAATACAAGCTTGTTCATTAGGTTTGCGCCTTCAAACATATCGAGTGGAGGATTAGTGGGATCGATGTATTTCAGAGCTATGTTGACAAAATGAAAGATTCCGGTCGTGATACTTGTGAAGTTATCAGGATCCAGGTAATAATCCACAGCTGGTTTGACATAGTGCTTGTCCGGGTCCATGTCTCCAAGGCTATCATACTTGATGAAGTTGAAACTAGGATCGTTGAGAATCCCACGGGATGCTAACACATCCGGGTATGCAATCCAAAGGTCATGGCCGAAATTCTTTAGGTCATCTCTGAGCCATGTGACTGTCTGGATGTGGCTGTAGAGAGGGAACGGAAGGTACAGAATCTTTGCACAATTTGTCATGGAGAACTCACAGAGAAAAAGTACTTTCAAAATGGTCGTGATTGTCGTTCGGCTCGCCATAGCAAACTGGAAAAGGAAAAATATATTTAGAACGGTTAACAAAGTTTTGCAACAAACATCAAAATGTGTAACCATTATCGATCGAGAATGTACTGAACCATGCAATGGACATATTGAAGCAAAACAATAAAGTTATTGAGTGGTCACGATACAATATTTCTAAACAATGATATTTTGGTTGGAAGGCACCACTTTATAACTGGAGGCCAAGACATTATTATGAGGACCACGAAACAAAATCCAGAGGCCACGTCATAATGTCTGAAAACTACGATATGCTATTCAAAGGTAATATATGAATATCTGTCGGCCACGACTTTATGACTACCAGAGGGAAGCTGACGTTCAAGGACAAATTGTAGAAGCAGTTCAGAGAAGTCAATGTACGACAGGCCAGGTCAAGACTATGATAAAGATGAATTAGCCTTTGCTAGCGACTTAAATAAATTCTACACCAGATTTGACATTGCCGATTGTTCATCAGAACGTTCCCAAATGAAAGAAGCTCTACAGGACGATTGTAAGGACAGTGACGTGTTGCAGTCTTTCCTAAGGATTAACACACACAAGACAGCGGTACAAGATAGTCTGGATGGCACAATGCATGAGGAGTCTTCTCAACAGCACTGTTATATTTTTATGTCAATTTATCAGCTATCTATTGACAATCCAAATGGTTATAAGAAAGGTATGATACCTTATTGTTATCAACTTCTTTATCATATTATGATACGACGTTTCGGTGTAGATTCTTATACCTTTCTCAAGCAAGAGTGTTTGACAACGGCATAAGAATCTTTACCGAAACGTAGCATCATAATATACTAATAAAGAAGTTGTTATCCATAAAGTATCATACCTTTCTTATTATTCATGAACTTCTAAAATGTCAATCAAACATAATCAAAATGATTCCATCACGATGGAAAATCTGTATCATTCCTATTGAAAAGAAACCTAAACGAGCTGTTCTTACTGACTTTCCATTTACTTCCTTTGCTATAAAGCGCCTCGAGCGTGTTATTCTAAAGTTTCTACAGCAGTCAACGTCACATCGGTTGCATCCTTTCCAGTTTGCATCAGTGTGGTCATGGTGTAGAAGACGCGACCATACAACGTCTACACAATATACATAATTAATTATTTCGATACAGCCCCACATACTAATACAGAAACTCCCCATTAAGCTGGTCAACAGTAATACCATTGGATGGATTAAGTCGCACACAGCACGTATGTGTAAACAGTATGTGGTCATCAAACGGTTAACAATACAGGAGTTCCTCAAGGTAGTGTTATATCACCGGTATTATTCACGTTACATATCAACGACCGTGTCTGTGACTCCACTGGCTGTTATACAGTTACATTTGCGGGTGACGCAGCACTAATGGGACTAAGAAGCAACTCAGAGGAACAGTATCGGCTTGAGATTAAGAAGGGCAAAAATAACTATCTGACTACAAAATGTATAAAAAGAAAACATGGAGATGGTTATATACTTTAAGACTGGGAAACCAGTTATGCAACCTGTGTATAATGAACCTCTAGATATGGTCGATGGATACAAAGTTCCCATCCCGCAACCTTTCGTAAGAGCAACAGATCCCTAACGTCTTTTAGTCCGTGATAATTCTGGTGTCCCCCGCCGTGATATTGCTAGAATATTGCTAAAAACGGCGTAAAGCCATACTCACTCACTCACTCATCCCTGGTTACGTTTTGAAAAGATTTCTAACAGATTTGTCTTTTTAGTATCAGCAGGTAATAATTGTCTTCTGCTTGGTACAAACATGTGGCTATTTATCTTAAAGGTATTGTGCATTTTGTGTTAATGTGTATTTACAATGTGTATTTTACCAATCTAATTTATGTGTTGCTAAGTGGGTTATACAAGGCAAATATCTCTTGAGAAACCTTGAACTTACAAAGTGAAATTCATTGATCGATCAACTGCTTTAGAATTACTTTTAGATATAGAAACTAAAAATGAGCTGAAGAAATACAATTTTGTTTTTATCTATCTTTTCTAAATATTTTTCTTTTCTTATAAGCATCGGAATCTCTGTACTTCTACGCAGCAGTCGTAATTCCCACTTATCTTACTGGAGATTCCGGTCCATCGATCACTTGATTGTCTGGTTTGTTTACAGGCCACCGTCGCAAGGCCGGATTACTGCAGTGCAAACAACACTTCCATTTTTAGACAAATGTGTGAACAGCGGGTGCCACCGACAGGGCAGGACATGCGTACTCATTTTTACGAACACCTGGTGTCATCACTGATTTTCAGTGATTCATTCATATCATTTTCACAGCTTTTATTCCCTTTACACCAAACAGAATATGTTTCTGAGGATAGTCAAGTCTGGGTATTTGTTTGCTGTGGTTACTATTGTATTTACAGTACATTAGATCGTCATGACAATCCACTGTATAGTAACAAGAGAAAATCGGGTGTTCTTTAACTTGATATGTCAAATTAACTATAGTAGTATGAAAGGGACGGTTATTTTTTAACTTCTTTGGATAGTATATCGAGTTGTTTAACACTGTAATCCACCTTATTAATGTACAGTCAAGATTGTTGATTGGCATGTGCATAATTATTAACCCTTGGTCCCGTCTGTCCTGTATTTCAGGGCAGCGGGGTAGCCTTGTGGTTAAAGCGTTCGCTCGTCACGCCGAATACCCGGGTTTGATTCCTCTCATGGGTACAATGTGTGACGCCATTTTTGGCGTCCCCAGCTGTAATATTGCCAAAAGCGCCGAAAAATTAAACTCACTCTCACTGTCATTTAATGCAAATGATGAAACCAAACCAGATAGTGTGGGATGTGTACATCCTGTAAATGACGGTATGATCCCTTGTCAGTACTTCCTGGGTTTGCTTGCACTACGTTCCGCCATCACCTGGTAATGGTATTGACATTGGGTATTCTCGGATTAGTCCTTGTTGATGATAACATGTTCTTAGTACCTAATCAATACTCCATCAACATTGACCAATGTAATGAAAACAACCACATCACCATCCACCGTGTAGAAGCTCAGTCTCATCACAAAGCGTTAGTAGTGCTGGCTGTAAGTCATTTATACATTTCCCATTTGTTGGATCAAAACTTTATGTTATGAACGACAGTCCCCGCTAATGTATACTACTAAAAGATAAGAACCACCTGTATGCTGTCACATTCCTCTAATTAATATGTCATGTCCTGCGGAAAATAGAGATATAGTGATATGAAGGAATGAGATTCTCCTTGAGTTATTTTGAGTAGCATAAGAACTTATTCATCCGAGCTTTGAATTGATTATCACGTTTTACTATATGTATATAATACTTAAGTCAAGACCTCCTACAGATGGAACTAAATTGTAAAATTCGCTGTACACCATGGCTTGACGAACGTCATCGTTTTTAATCAGAGCTACAGAATTGAACGTCTTGGTGACGCACTTCATTGCCCGAAATATTCCTTTCTTTCTTTGTGCCACAAGTTCCCGTGTTCCTTAGGTGAACAATTGACATGCCTTTGCATGTGTTTGTGTCGGATGCTACAGTCACCTTTTCGCTAAAACACGGTGCCATCCCTAATGCCTTTTGATTCATATGCACGTGTGTTTAGTACAATCAGAATCATATAGTGGACTCTGCAGATTTCTTGTGTCTATGGAAAGGATTTTGTTGGTTTGATTGAAGAAATTGAGAGTTTCCTGTCCCAATGTTTGTGTTGTATTCAGCACAGTGGAAAGGCAATGAGACATTGTGTATTGCACCGGACGTTTTCTGTATTAGAATGAGTGAGTGAGTGAGTGCAATATTCAGCTATATTGCGGCGGTCTGTAAATAATCGAGTCTGTACCAAACAATTATGTATTTTCGTCCAGCATCAGTGAGTGAGTGAGCAGCTTTTAGCAATATTCCAGCAATATCACGGCGGGGGACACCAGAAATGGGCTTCACACATTGTACCCATGTGGGGAATAGAACCCGGGCCTTCGGCGTGACGAGCGAACCCTTTAACCACAAGGCTACCCCATCGCCCCTTGTCCACCATCAAACATGGAGGCATATTGTCTCTTGCCCTGTCTTTTCCATTCGTTGAGTCAGTCAGTCTTAAGTTTGATTAAAGACATTTTATTCCCTGAAACAATTAATTATAGGATTAACGGGAATTTGAAATGGAAACGTCTGTATAATGAAAGCAAACAGCTGTATGCTAAAGTATTGTACTTTTATGGGTTTTAGCTGGAACAGAAGAGCTCTTGGGGAAAACTTTGGCTGGTTAAATATAATTCAAATAAAACAGAAGCTATCATTTTTACCCTTAGAAAACAAAGTGATAACATAACTTTATACTTTTATGAATGTGAAATTAGTAATGTAAACGAACATAAACACTTAGGTCTAACGTTTTCGGCAGATGGGAAATGGAATAAGCATATTGACCAAATATACTGAGTCAAAAAAGAAACTTCACAAAATGTGATTTGAAAAATAATGAATAATTTTTCTCTGATGTTACATCTATGTTTCCGAAATGGGATCCCTATCTTTCGACTCTAGAAAAACGTTAGCAAAACCCACTCAAACCCATCCATTCGTCGTGCAAATGACGTTAGTGTCAAATCAGGTTTTGCACGTGCAGTCGATCACGTGATTTCGCATCGAAGTTTTCTTCATATGCACGTGTTTGCATTGGCCTCAAGAATTGAAAAAACACTTTTAAACCACAGTTCTAACGGTACTTGAAATGCCACGATTGTCAAATGTGCAACGTGAACGTGCCGTTGGCATGTTGCAAGCGGGAAGATCAGTTATTGACGTTGCAAGAGCAATGGGATGCAGCCGTCGTACTGTGTATGACTTGCGAGGTCGTCTACAACAAACTGGCACCACTTCTGATCGCCCAAGGTCGGGTCGTCCACGTGTGACGTCACGAGCAGAAGACCGTCAAATCGTCCTACGTCACCTACGTGACAGATTTCTGCCGGCTACACGA